GCACTTGGCTCTAAAATTTATTCTGGTAACCTTACATTGCATCAGCGATTTCGAAAGGCATCATGGGAAAAAGTACACATTTTTCGGTAAACTTCCGGTATCAGGGACTCAGTTATCTGTAAAATTCATGGTTTTCAGCACTGTTTCCAAATATACGAGTGAAAATCCTCAGGGCATTATAGGCTCGTTGTACCAAGGAGATCCAAGATATTTGGTTAATCGTATATATTACCAGTGCCAACTATACTCAAGGCCTGTCAGACTGCTTGAATTTCCTGTACCCGTTTTCAAGGGCTTTCTCGAAAGTTGTCACGAGATTGCGCTAGTGATCTGTTATACTTTGATCATAAATGTATCCTTTGTTGCGTAGCTCATTTAAAACAATAAAGTATATTTTATTAAAAAATATCACTCTTTGTTTTAGCATTACAGGATGGTATAATATTGCGTGCCACATTGCAGTTCAGAACAGATTAAAAGGGCTTCTTTCCATACATATAGATTCGTAGAAACCTAAAGAAAGCATGTAGCGATCCATGTGCTAGTATGGCTTGCTCGGTGCTGCTTGGTATGCAACTGCTTGTTCATGTTGCCACAGTGGCGTAGCTAGGGTGGGGCAAGGGGGAACATCTGTCCCCGGGGGCAGCATTCAAGGGGCGCCAAATTGATTCTACGAAATTTTAATGAAATGTTTTCCATTCTTGGCACACAGAAAGGGGCGCAAATTCTTTAGTTGTCCCTGGGCGCTGAGCTACGGCTCTGTGTTGCCATTTATTAGCATCAATAAGAAGCGCAGCAGCGCATGAGTTTCGCATGCCCTTGAAGATGTTAATGACCTTGAGATTAAATCCTGGGTCTGTTATATGGAAATCGAATAACATACTGTTGCAAAAGAGCTCCCATGCGACATATTCTTATGTTCGAATTGCTTTATAACGCGAGCATTTGATTAGCTCTCGAGATATCTACAAGCATATGTCGAACAAGTAATTTACCACTATTTACTTCTTATTAACTGAAATTAGACGCAAATTAAGTTTTGAGAAGAGTGTGTTGTACCCATTTTTACTTTTTATAATTTCTTTTGCTGACAGAATAATTGTGTATTTGATTATTTAGCCTTGCTAAAACCAAGTTCATTAGAATATATAGAAATATCCACACCGCCGTCAAAAGTGAAGCCAAAAAGAAGGGTAAAGCATGCTCTTAGCGAGTTTTCGTTATAAATGCTTGAATAGATACTAGTACTAAAAGCTCTAAAAGAAGGAGCAATGCATTCCTCCATTTTTAATCTGCAGATAAACAATATTAAAGAGGGTCTCAGAAAATATCATTTCGTTTCCCGAGCCAAAGGCTATTTTTAATGAAATATTTGAACTTTTATATATAAGGAACAAAATTAAATATATTGAATTAATTAATGAAAAAAAATTTTTTTTGAGCATCATATTGTAATACTTTTTCCCTCCATAGTAATACAACCATTGGGATTCGACACTCCTTTATGTCACTCTTTTTTATTGCCCACACATCTTACTTAAAACATTAAAGTTAGAAGTGAAAGAACAAAACTATCTTGCAAACATTAGACTCTCGATTAACCTGCTGCAGATTACTCGTGCGCGGCGATGGCCACGCACGCACACTCAACGCTATACATGAGAGTGTGTAAAAAACGTATACTCGCAAATTTGAGAGCGGAGAAAGATTTTTCTTAATGTTAAATGGAAAATTTATCTAATTGTGTAATTTTTTATTATTATTATTTAAAGAAAAAGAAATCCTCGTGCACCACAAAGTATCCCACGAGACATACAAATCATAAGTAAAAGAGCAAAATCGTAAGTAATAATTTTAATTTTCAGTAATACAATGAACTCAAACACAAAGAAAAAACACACAAAAAATACAAAAATATATAAATATATAAAGAAATCATTTACAGTGTTTAAAATTAAAGTGCTACGAAATGTACAGGCGCAGTGAAACAGCTTTCCCGCAAAGCAGTTTTAGGGCTGCCATAAAATGGCAAGGGAAGGCAGGGTTGCCACATATGGAGAGAAATCGCCCATTTGGTGACAAAATTGGCGATATACCATGGACGGATGGAGAACCTTCTGGAACGAATTCTTATCGGTTTAGCCCAGAATGTTCTCAAACACAAGCCGAAAACTATATAAACCCTGCTGGTCCGCAGTCAGTTAGAGTGTACTTCATCGAGAGGGCAAGTCAGAGTGCCTCGTCTGGAGTGCGAGTCAGTATCGAGTTGGTGTTTCGTCTAGCGAGTTAATCCCTGCTCAGTCGATCGAGTTGACAGCCGGGCAGCGAGTGCCGAGTGGGTCGTCGAGTTCACCGAAGGAGTCTCTTAGTGTATCGCGGTTAGTGCATCGTCGAGGGAGCGTGTTGAGCTCCGAGAACGACTGAACCGAAGAGTCGACAGCCGGGTGTGCTCTGTGTGTCGTCGAGTCATTTGTGCTCTGTGTGTCATCGAGTCATTGCGAGTTGTAGCGTGGAGAGTCTCGAGAGTACGTGGATTTCCAAGAACGACCAAGGCAAATAAAGTGTGTTTCCATACTTCATCAAGTGTCATCGTTATTCACTCCAAATCCACACGAACCCCGTACAAACGTGAAGGAAGAAAATAACGTAACAACTGGTGTCAAAAAAGAAAAGCGTAACAATATATAAAGAAATCATTTACAGTGTTTGAAATTAAAGTCAACAAATTCATCATTGACGCCATCTGTAATTGACGATTAAAATTATTTGGAATTTATTGGCCGCCGAACTGTTATGATTTTATATCTCCAGCTTCGGCCTACCGAGCTTTGCAGACTCTTAAAGTTGAGGAAATTACCGAAATTTTTAATATAATATATTTTTTTATTTAAAAAAAATTATGGAACACAACTGAAGTTGTATACCAAAAAATTTTAAATGTCAAATTCTTCGAAAATGTTAATCGCGAAAAATCGCAGAATGGTTCTAAAGTAGCTCGACTGAGTCAGACTTTCAGTGCTTGAGTGATGCAGATATCGTTTCAAATGTCACAAGAACAGAAGAGGCAGAGAGAAATACTAAAAATACAAGCGGAAAAGATCCTGGTAATTCAATATATCAGTTCCAAGACTAGCAATGATTTCTATTAAAATATTGTTGGATTTCGTCGACGAAAGGGGATTGGAATAAAATTATAGTATTTCGAAACATACGCAATGACATCCGACATATATTTAAACGTTCTCGAAAAAAAAGTAATTGCTGATTTCTTAAGAACTGCAAGGATTATGTTAATTTTATTAAAAGTTAAACTTCCTTTCCACATCGTTTCTTAATTTCAACTTACCACTTCCGGCCAGAACGTAGTTTTAGAATCACTCTTAAATTCAAATTGAGGAAAGCGGTATTTAACCGCGAAGTTCTACTGTCTTAGTTAGAGAGAACCAGAGATTCTGGATGGCACGCATCCGCCTTTTTAGGCTACTCTCTCTTAACTCAGCAATAGAAAGGGTTGTTAATAGTTCACTAGCAAGAGAATAATTTGAAAGTAATAATTATCAGTTATGAAGACGAGGACAATCTATATACATGATAATGTTCAGGAAATGATTAGATAAAATAGGGATTTAATGATGGTTCTAATTGCAAGTGAGGACGAGTAATTAGTTAAAAATCTTTAGTGTATTGACAAAAAGGCTACAGAAATTACTTAAATTCTTTTGTTTAACAGAGGAATTTTTATGCAAACTTAGACTCTATTCTTATAGCATAGAACTATCAGAATTTATTATTCAATAAGAAAAATTACTGAAAATGATAATATTCTTATATATTCATCACTTTTTCAGTATCCACACAGGTTTATAGGTTCAAATGCCATATTTTAAAATCAAAGTTATTTATGAAATAAAACCATACAAAATATGATAAATCATTTGTGTGTGCAAATTTTTAAATCAAAATCTCTTACATTAAATTATTTCTGTCTTTTAAATTACATCCCATAATTTATTTCAATTTAATTGACTAATGTGTTTGTACTAATATTTCAAAGTTCTTTGAAGCACTTTTTGTGTTCTGAAAATGCCAAGTATTTCCATAATAAAAATAAGCAGGCATACAGAATAATTAATTTAATAGTTGATATAATCTCTTTTAACTTATTTCATGTCTAAATTTTCTGCACAGAAATCCTCTGGCTAATTTTTAGTATCTTTTATCGGACGAAATTTTTCAAAGAGGAATGAATTAAAGTCTTGATTGCGCAAAACACATCTTTAAAGCTAAATGTATTCTAAGAAGTACAAAAAATGTAAACAAGATTTTGTTTTCCCCAAAATCAGTCATTTAAACTATTCAAACCGTTCAGGAAAAGGATAAACATTGCGAACATAAAAATCTGCTCTTTTTTATATATACTTTACTAAAAGGAAATGTGCTCCTTCTTTTTATAAATAAAGGAACTCATTTTCCTTTGTAAACTTTTGAAAGTCGCTAACTTTTAAAAAATGATAAACTATGCCAAGGTAGAAACCCGCCTTTTTTTTTTAAAAAAAAGGTTCACTAGAACAGTTCGCGTACGTAGAATCCGTGCCTTTCGATTGGGTTCTATTGACTAGAGCTACAGCTCAAAAAGCCATATTACGTAAAAGGTACTTTACAATATAGAATTTAAAATAAAAACTGACTAAAATTACATATATATAAATTATTTTAAATATATACATTATTAGAAAAGATATATATATATGATTAAAATTAATATGGGATATGTAACCTCTAGAAAATCGTCTCGCAGCTGAATGAAACTACAGTTTTAAACGCGGGAAATCAGAACAGGTGGCATCACAGTGACGTCAGATTACTGCCTGCTAATTTCCCCCATTAGGCTCGCGTCGGCTAAGGCTACTATAAAGGTAGTATCTCTAGTAGCTCTAGCGTCGGCGAGGAGTCGAACAAAGAAATGAGCTAGCCCTTTCTATTTATCCCTGGGTGCGAATAGCTTAAGCGGCTAATCGCACCGGTGGTGTGAATAGCATCGGCCCGATTACCAACAGGGTAAAAGGTGTTTTTAAGTGTAGAAGTTATTTCTCATCTGGCAGCAACAAACATTTCACAGTTGCAAACATGGCGGACGGCGAAGCAGATTGGGGTAAGTCACTTTCCTTTGATTTTCATTTTATTTGTATATCAGTAGCAAAATTACTAAATAAATTATTAACTTTATATAATACTCTTTGTAGAAAATGAAGACTTCGAGCCTGCAGTTTTTAAGAAACCTATACCACACACTGACAGATGGGAAGGTGAAGACGAAGATGATGATGTAAAAGTAAGATTTTGAAATAATTTTTGCACAGTATAAATTTTATGGTATTATTTATAAAGATTGTCAGTATAATTAGCAAAAAATAATTTTAAACTACTTGCAAATGGTTTAAAAAAGCGTTTTAGTCAGAAACTGTGGGAAGAAAGCATGCCGCGACCTGATTATGAAAGTTTACATCATACATGTTACTTTCAATGCTGTAAGTGTCTAAAAATAAAGTGTTTTATCTGTCTAAAAATCACGAAATGAAGAAGCAGAGTTTGGAAAATATCTTTCTGATTTTTTATAAAATAATGACTATCTGGGCCTAATAATTTTAAGCTGTAAATATTTTCCTCACCTATGCGTGCGGTGGTGCTTGGGAACGTTTTGATTAAAATTGAGAAGTGAACTTATCGTTGTATTTGTTTATGTTTCAGATCATCTTAATTGGAGTTTGGGGTATATTATTTCAGTTAGTAAACTGTTATTCGAAACTTATGACATCAGTTATGAAATAAGAAATTATTGAGATATTTTTTCCTCATTCACATGTATCATATTAATATGTATAATGTATTTTAGACCGAGAGTATTTTGAGTGTCATTTTGTATATATGTATGTACTTGCAGCTAGAATATTGTAAAAAAATGCAGAGAGAAGACACTGATAGCTAACACTTATTTCATGTACTCATCATTACCAAATGTTAGCATTACAAGATTCATATTAATTGATTCAAATTAGTGACCTTTACCACTTGATGATTTATTAATATGCTTTACCATTTTAAAACATTGATAGTTCACTCTGCATTCTCAACAGTGGAAAGCGTTGACTGTAGATAATTTTTACTTCTGCCACGTGTAGTGTAAATGCAACACCATTTTTCTTCCTTCACAGAAGTTTGCTTTTAGAATGATTTCTGTAAAGTAGTTAAGAGGCACAAATTTGTCCATATGCGCTTTGGGTAAATATAAACTTGCATTAATACCGTGTGATAAAACATAAGGATTTGGCGAAATTATTTATATGGCTCTAGTGTAGAATCGGATGCCTCTTAGATTGGCAATAAATTTTGTTCAATTTTGACAACGAGTGAATTTGTTTTAGCCTTATATGACATCATTCTACTCATTTTATAAAGTGAAAATAGATAGATGTGTACATGGACAGAAAGTCAAGGCAGTGTGCAATGCCTAGTTTTTGAACAATTCTCTGAAGTTTTTTTAAAAGTGAAAATAAATTGATGTGTACATGGACACCGAGGTTGTGCCATTCTTTGACTTCTTATTTAGGTTTTGTATAGCAGCCAACTTGAAATTGCGCCTTCCTGGCGTCAAAAAAGAATCTCCGAAAAAAAAAAAAAGAGGCATGCAGTTGTAAACATTTACTGTATTTATTTATTTATTTTGTTTGTGGTGTAGTAGACTAAATGTGCATCATGTACATATATATGGACATACAGGGTTAGATAAAGGGCAATTGGGGCCTGCATTTAAAAAAGCACCACGTTACCATCAAAATGAACAAAAAAAAAAAAAAAAAAAAAACTTTTTAAATTTAAAGCAAATTGCTTTTGATGATAATGGATAAATTATGAATTATTCAAATAATTTAAAATATATTTATTTTAAGTTCGCATTGCTGGATGAGATTTATTAATGTGTTTATTGTTATATAATACAGTCAAAAGTCATTAATCCGGTCTCGTCGGGACTTCGGCGATTCCGGATTATAGATCATCAGTTTAAATCTCGTAAGATGGCATGCAGAAATTTTAAAATTAATAATATGAAACCGTAATTTATGAAATAAAGAACAATTATGATCTAAAGGGTATCAAAATTTACAAAAAAAAAAAAAAAAAAAAAAAAAAAAAAAAAAGCTTAATATTTATTTGTTTACTTTATTAAACATTTCTTTCAATGTAAGTTGTTTAAGTTGCTTCATTTTATGTGATAATACTTTCTCTTTAATTCTATAAACGGACATAATTTCTTTGTTCAGTTACAAAGTTCTGCTGTTCAAGTCCCGTTAATTGCTGTGCAGAAAATACCGACTAACTTGTCAATCGAAATTTTTTCGTTTTCACTAACCTCTCTGTCACATTCTTCATATCTTTATCCATTTTTTTGCAGCAATTCCACTTTTTGTTTGTTGGACATCGAAACATACTTTCGTTTTGTAGATCCTTTAGAAGTTCCAGCATCGGAAATTCTATTTGACATAATCGAAAGTTCAAGTTTACTTTTATAAAATTGCTCTTACAGTCTGCAAAAAATAATAAGCGGGATCCAATTCGAAGATTAAGGAACAACGCAATCATTAACATTAACTGAAATAGATAATTAGATAATTTTAGCTTACACCGTCCGTTATACATTAAATACGCAGGCGTAAATGTATTCAGCACTCGCGCACACGCATATGCGCAGTAGTCAAGGTCTTACGCGCACGCGGCAACGCAGCGCATGCGCAGAAAGTTTTTAGCTTTGAGGTCCGGATTATGGGTGTCCGAATTAATGACTTTTGACTGTATAAGAGTAGTACCTGTGCAGAGTTGACAACTCTACCGATTTAGGTGGGAGACTCCTGATTTTCAACCGCTCTCCTGCCAACCCAATTTACAATATATTGACTTTTTCTTATGATTTTTATGCAACTTGGCTTAATATTTCATTATATGAACAAAACAAAAAGTGATTTTGGACGTCTGAAATCAGTTGAATTTTCTCTAGATTATATCTAAAACAAAACCTTGCGAATCAGATGAAAATTTCTGCTTTGTGAGTAAGAGCATAGGTATCCAGAAATGTCGTTCTCCAATGGGTAATCTAGCTTCACTGTGTATCTATCATCTGGCATATACAGTCTTTAATCCGGACCTCAAAGCTACAAAATTTCTGCGTATGCGTAAAATACGTTTATGTATGCGCGTTTAATGTATAACGGACAGTATAAGCTAAGCTAAAATTATCTAAGTATCTATTTCAGTTAATGGTGTAGATTGCGTTGTTCCTTAATCTTCTAATTGGATTCGGCTTATTATTTTTTTGCAAAGTGTTAGAGCAATTTTATAAAAGTAAGCTTGAACTTTCGATTATGTCAAAAAGAATTTCCAATTCTGGAGCTGCCAAAGGATCTACAAAGTGAAAGCATGTTTCGATGTACATCAAACAAAAAGCGGAATTGCTGTAAAAAATGGATAAAGGCATATCCTTTGTTTCTCTAACCATTCTGAAATCTGTTCATCAATTTTCACGCTGCTCTGGGGGGGGGGTTGCAGTGCACAATGAACTGGAAGTTGATCTGTCAGCACTATCCTTATCTTCAGGGCAGATGTTTTTATTTTATTTGGCTTATAATTCCTTACAAAATGTAGTATTTTATCTCGAGGTACTCCGTCTTTGAAATATCACGAATACACATCAAATAGTTTTCTGGTTGCAATTTTCTAATTTCGACTATGCATAATATATGCTTTACGCATGCGCGCTTTGAAAGAAATGTTTAATAAAGTAAACAAATAAATATTAAGCTTTTTTTTTGTAAATTTTGATACCTTTTAGATCATAATTGCTTTTTATTTCATAAATTACAGTTTCATATTTTTAATTTTATAATTTCTGCATGCCATCTTACCAGATTTAAACTGTTGATCTATAATCCAGAAAAACCGATAATCTGGAATCGCCGAAGTCCCGACGAGTCCGGATTAAAGACTTTTGGCTGTATTAGCCAATGAGCACAAAGCAAGCTCAAGGCTGTTATTTAGATGTTCTTAATTATTTTGTTCATCTTGTTCTGAGTTGTGTGAGTACATGTGCCTTTGGGAAATAGTTTTAGAAATTATCATCTTTTGTTATGTCTGCGAGAAAGGTGAAATACTTGTGAACGTTTAAAAAATCGTACACAGTTGACTTTCCTTCCATTATTTCCTCAAGGAAATGTAATAAATTTGTGATGTGTACCGTGGTGAAAGAGCGGATGTTCTCAAACATGTGCGTACACAAAAACACAAGGACAACATGAGTTGTTTTGAAAACAACAAAAAATTAAATTTTTCTTCGGAAACAAAGGACTAAAAATTTATTAATGCAAAATGTCTGTTCTCTGCCTTTTTACTGGAGCACAACCTGCCACTGAATGCCTCTATCACGCTGCAGCTTTATTTAGAAAAATGTTTCCCGTTAGTGAAATCGCTAAGAAATACTCAAATAAAGGACCAAAAGAGGTGCAATTGTTAAAGAAATGGGTTTGAAAAATAAATCTTCAGTTATTGATTGCATTAAAACAGCTCCGTTCTGCCTCTCTGCTTATGGAAGCAATAATACCGATTCAAAACTGTATCCAATTGTCGTTTCTTTTTTAATCCAGAGTCTTCAGAAATTGAGCGCAGTTTACTTTCTGTCCCCACTTTAGAAGGGAATTCGACAGGCTTTAATATAGCACAGCTAATTATTAAAACTTTAAAAACTGTCTGTGGCTTCAGTATTGTTCATTATGAGGGACGTTTTACTGTTGCTGGTATTCGATGCATAGATATTGAAACTTTGAGGAATATTGTGATAAAGGTGAAGGAGTGCATTAGTTGATCTGATTCCTGTATTTTAATGCAGCAGCATGGAATAGCATTAAGTATAAAAATATAAATTATTTCTTATACAGAAGCGAAATTCATGCTGAGAGCACTAGCCTTTCACTCCCAGCAGATGTACCAGAAAAGAGACTGAGGGGAGATAGAAGTTGTGATCTAAAAACATACACAACCGTGCCCCTCATGCTGATTGGCTAGTACAGCATACCTCTCATTCGCATCAATGAAATGCTACAGAGTATGTCCCCAGTGATAAAGTCATGATTACAAATGACAATAAATATTTGCAATGTATACAGAAAATGATGCACAATGTAATAACCATAGATGCAGCCGGAACATATGCATAATACAAAGCGCTATATACTAAAAGTTTGTACTTAAGGAATGCTGTCTGTGACTAAACGCTTGGAAAATTTGACC